TCAAAAATGAGATGAGTAAATAACCAGAATCAGAAAAAAAGGATTTATTGTTTGTTACTGGGCCACCGCCTCCCTTTTCTAGCCAGTATCCAACATGTCATTTATGGCCGACTTAAGAAAAAGTCTTCAACAGTCTACACCACAGGACAACATGTCAATAATTACTTTAATTTAAAAAAAAAGAAAAATTAAAATGGGCGCATTCTAATTGCCTGTAAAGACTGTTACAGGCTGGCTTTGCAGACTAACTAGCTAGTCAGCTAATATAAGTCATACTTGTGTTACTCTATAAACATTAGAAAAACAAATGGGTGTGTCAGATTTAACAGGTTGTTTTAATGCTTTTGCTTCAGTGACAATTATCTATATATATGATTATTTTGTCATGATTATTATGCCACGAGGATTCTGTTCTACCCCTACACAAGAAGTTTAAATATCGATTAAGTAATAATTACTTCAGGTCAAGCATTCATTTCCACTAATTTACCCTGGTGTGCCTGAGAGACAGACGGGGTGAATCAGGAAGAGTCAGTGGCGTCTGTTCTGTTGGAATTTGCTGCAGTCAGGTTGTGTGAGTAGGTCAGTCTGCAGCTTTATGGAATGCAAAGGCAGAAATCCCCAAAGCTTTACTTATTTGCACACAGAAATAGGACCCAAGACAGTTGTTGATGGGAGCTCCATTGGCCTTACTCCCACGAATTGCTAAAGCAGAACAGCTGGGGAGTTCTGAGAAAGACTTTTTAGTCAGTCAGTCTACAAGAGCTTGGGAGGTGAATCATTTATGCTGCATTAGATTTATTTCTCATTGCTTATTGTAAGCTTAATTATTTTTCAATGCTAAATATTGATGGACAGACAACTTTGCTGATTACTGATTCTCAAGAATCAGTGCTTTCGGCACTGAATCCTTAGAAACAGTAAGCTGTTTTTATTTTTGAATCAGTAGCTTGCTGCTCAGCTTTCTGGTAAAACGTTACCAGAATCATTGGGCTTGTCTGTGACGATGTCTGGACATAAACACAATCCCCTACAAAACCCTGCAAGGATAAGTATCTGTTGACAATGGATGTATGGATGGATGAATAATTTGAGTGTTCTGCTTCTAAACAAAGGTCAAGATCCTTGCTCCTCGCCCCTCTGTTTTTTGACATGGTGGATCATCCTGTTTATCAGTCACTCCATTATGAGGGAAATTTGGCAGATTCTCAGTCGCTGAAAGTAGGTCTTCCACTTCAACAGTTTGCTTCAGTACTGCTGCTGAAACTAGATTAGGGGTTCACTAGGTTCTGCGGATCTATGGGCTTCTTACTGTTGTTCTATTGGTCAAATGTTATTTATGTAGTAATCACTTACTTCAGTCTGTAACTATTATATCATTTGAGCTGGAAATGATTACACACAATATATATTCCTTTATTTATACACAAAAATCTCTTGAGACTTGTCTTATTTATAAGAATTAATTTACTCTTTGGCTATGTTTGCGCGAGACCGGTGTCTAGAAATTGATGGCATTTTCAGATGATGACACTTTGAATCATGTCATGATACGCCACTATATGGTGCTGTGACTTTAATATGTCATAAAGTTTGCCGAGTAAATTAATGGATCTTGGCATGTTCTACATGTTTCTCTTAATTATTCAAGAGAGACACTTAAAACATGTGAGGCAGTAGGTGTTGGGCTATAGGTTTAGGAGACAGAGGTCTAGGTAAAAAATAAATACAACACTAACATAGACAGACGGATGGAAAGACAGACAACTTTGCAAATTCAAGAATATTGACAGGAAAGATCTGTGGCCAACAGCATATAATCACTATCACAGTGATTTCACAGTCATGAACGTAACTTGTGTCAAAATCCCATGTAAACAAAATCACTTAATGAGAAATATGTCAAAGTTTATTGCAAAACCATATGGGGGAGTTTAACTTCAGGGTTTGTTTTTATCAGCTTGAATTATGGGTCTATCTTCCTGTGTGGGTAATCGAGCCGGGTAAGCTGTTCATTTTCCAGCCATGTGTTTAGGCAAAGCCCGAACAGGTCTGTCAATCCTTTCACAGGGTTGTTAATATTCATTTTTTTGAACTTGCCTCTGGTTTTCTTGCTGTCAAACCTCGTTACGGTGGGTTAACATACTTCCTTAATGAGTGCCACAACAAATCTAATGAAATTTTGGAATTTTCTAAAACAACACTACAACATTCCTTGGTCACTTAACTTGATAAATGAGTTTAAAATGTTTTGCTTGCACAGAATAAACTTTTGGTTTATTCTGTTTTTGCTGGCTATGAGGTGAGTCATTTCCTCTCTAATTTCCAGTTTTTCCTAAACAAAGACTAAGATGACAGACTGCCATAATAGTGGATAATCTTTAGTCACTGTAACATGGAATTAAACTTAGTTTTTTGTGCATGCTTGCAGAAAGAGAGTTAACATGGCTTTAGCTAAGACAAATTGTCTTTAAAATGTATTTTATAGTGATCAGCATTTAACATGAAAGCTAGTTTTCATTTTTCTTTACAAAATCTAAAACTAAGGCACCTTGACGTCACTTTGCCACTTAAACATTCCACACATAATCCAGAGCGGTTTTCGGTTTAGCTTGTAGGCTCTCAGGACTTTCTAATCAGTTGAGCATTTCCTTCCCTTCAGACAACAGCTGAGCCAATCTTATCCTTTCTGCCTGACCTTATATATCCTTCTGTAGAAAGAAACAGAGTTGTTTGAATACTGTCTGAAAATCTGAGGTGCGGTGCCGCTATTATCTCTGCAGCTGTAATATGTGAAACCGAGTCTTTATTTAAAATCATTAAACCCATGATAAGAATGACCTCACCTGGAATCTATTGCACTTATTTGTGCTAACTGCGAAAGGTGCTGCCTGAATCAGCACATAGCCTGGTTCATTTCTCCTGCTTCTCATCCCTCAGGCCCAGAGGAGGCAGGACAGTGTCTGCCTCAGCATGTCTGGAAAATGTGTCCTGCAATGCTACCTTGCAGAGAAGCCTTCCCTAAGAGTGTCTCATATCCAAGGAAGACAACTCACTCTGAATATGTTGACTCTTTCTTATTCACAGCGTGGTTTAAGCTTTCCTTATTTTAAAAATTGTACAAGTCCAACAAAAAACTGCTTATGGGTTCCTGTGATCCTGACAGCTTCAGCTCAGATGGGTTAAGATGACACTAGAATCAGGAGCATTTAAGTAGGAATTTAATGTGCAGAAATGTGTGACCATCCTTGTTTGTTGATGTTGCTAGCGGTGTCATATTGGAGATTTAAATTATACAGTGTGTCTTCCACCAAAGTCTACAGCCAAGCTGTGTCAATAAGCATGTCAAACAATTGGAGGAAGCATCTGTAACTGATCTGGTTTATTGTAACACAGACTCTAAGATTGTAAACATCTTTTGTTATTTGTCTGTGAAATACTCACAAAATAAGTGAGACCATTTCACTTGTTTTTATGATATATTTTAAATATTTTTTTCTGCTTTGTCTCTTAAGGTTTACCTACTCAGAGATGATATGCTACTTGCTATTTAACAGTAAAGTTAAGCCTCAAGACTCATGCTTTCTTTCATCACCGAAAGTAAAAACAAGATGACTTAGTGTTGCATATGTTTTTCCTTTTTTATAATTATTTATTAAATTAAGTAAAGACATGTAGAATTAAGAATCCTTAAATAACCCATTGAGAAAAACAACTTCAATATATATATTTTTTTGCATATACAAAAAAATAAAACACAAGCAAAATGAAAACTGTTTTTCTACAGAACTTAGGACATTTAATCTCAACCTTTCCATTGGGCCGATGTCTTGACAGTTTTGCAAGATAGCAAAACTATGTTATGTCTTTCTAAACCATGCAGATTGTTTACAAGGAAAAGTTGGCGCTTGGAGGCAGCAGCCTGAACTCTTACAGGGTCAATTGAGCTTTCTAGAGAACGCCCAGGTCTGAAAACTGTTTCTCAGATCCACTTGAAAATTTTGGTCTGGTTCATTTTACATAGGATTGACAACATTAATCATTTGAAAGTGATCTCACCTTTGGTTAAATATCTCACAATATGTGTTTAATTACCTGATATACGAAGCAGTACTGTTTTTATCCAAAATGTTAGGACTTCATCATTCTGCTATATACAAGCGAAAAACACTGAAGACAGCTTGCGGTTTTTCTAGCCATGAAGGTCCCAGCAAGTTCATTTGATCCTCAAAAAAATCCCAACAAACCCAGGAACCTTTTCAGTCTGTACAGGTGTCTCTCTGTTAATATGTCCAATGTCAAAGTTCATGATGGGACACTTAGAGTTTTTGTCTGTCTTGTTTTTGTCTGTTCAATTCTGAGAAATTAAAGTTCAGTCTGCAACCTGATTGAAAAACTTTGGTTGCATTTGAATTAAGCTGTTCAATAAAATGCAATAATATGATAAAATACTTTTTTTTAAATATATATATATATATATACTTTCTTTAAATTGATAAGTTTGCATTTGGTCAAATTAATGGGGAAGGTGCATTTTTTTTCCTTTGCTGAACATCCATTCTTCCTCTTACTTTAACTTGCTGCTGTGAAAAAAGTCCACTAGTACCACAAAAGCCTTAAAAGTAAAAAATAACATTGCTCACACGTTTTTTTCTATGCTTCTAATGTCACATAATAAAGAGTGATTTAACTTCGGTCTCTAAAAGATAAGATATGCCAGCTTTGTTTTCTATTTTTGCAGACTCATTCAATTAGAGAGAAACAGGAGACAGATTCTAAAGCCTGCTGACTGCAGCAAACAACCCTGTGCTTGTTATCTTTAAGGCAAACGTTATTGAAATCCCCCAAGAAGATTAAAGCCCTAACAAAGAAATTCTTGTGAGATGAGCATCCTGTAATACTTTGGGATTTTCCTGACAGTGATTGGGTATCACTTATCGTACTAACATAGTGAAATATCCTCAACAATTAACACGTTCTCTTTTTTTTTTTTCTTTTAGAGACCTGAGATTCAACAAAATCAAGGATTTACAACCAGGCTCCTTCAGGCGATTAACGAACCTCAACACACTGTAAGTCGCCCTGCCTCTGTATGAGAAGCAAGAACATTTCCATGCTCTTCTTTTGTAGTTTCACAAACTGGGTTCAGAATATAATTTTAGTATAATTCCTCTTTTTTCACGTCCGCCTGCATTTGTGTGTTTTCTCACTTATATTTAGCACTGACACACATAGTTAGCACACACATATTCATAAGAAATGTTGTTTTGTTATGCTTCCTTTTATAGTTATCTTTTCAGTTTTCAGGTTTCAGGTATATGGTCCACCTTTTCTAAATATTTGCTTAAGGTGTTGAGCTCTTTCTTCATCTGTTTTTGAAGAATATGGTGAAATAAAAGAAATACACCCAAAAGAAAGCAACTTCAAACAATTTTCTTTCCAGGTACACTTTGGTTAAAACCAGGACTGAACACACCAACATTTCTTTTCTCAGTGAATATATTTCATAAGCAAGGAAAATCACAACCTACACATAAAGTTGTCCAAACATACAAATACATTTATTGCAAATTATTCAATAAGTGAGTGTGTAATGACACCTGAGATAGAGAAAGTATTTACAAAAATGATGTGGAAAAGCCTGAGAAAGCCAAGAAACCAGCTAAAATCTGTTTGTATTAAAGTACTGCATAGAGTTTGATTACTGAAAAGAAAAAAAACCTTCCTGAAAAAGTCCTAGTGTTGTACAGTGTAATAATGACAAGGTTACAGCTGGATTTCTAAATGTCTGGGTGTTCCTGTTAGAGTAGCCGTAATTTTGAACTCCAGAACATAATTTCACCATAAGGCAGCTAAACTGAGGCACATCTCATATGATTTCTGGTAGAGAAGTCAAAGAAATGATCAAAGGAATTCTCCAAGAGCCAATAAGCACATTTGTGACTTTTTCAGAAGATTAATGGTGTGGGCTGTCTTGCAGCATGTCATACTGGCTGACTTCATTTAACTGGAGGAAGGATAAATAGAGACATTTCTGATTAAAATCTAAACAGAAAAGCTCTGAATTTTCAAGAAAATTAGTTCCAAACACTTGGCCAAGAAAATTATCAATTGGTGCCAGTACAAATTCCAGCGAAGGAATCCAAGAAAGTGGGAGAAAACCCAGAGATGTGCATTGAGTGTATGATTCTCCAAAACAAAATTCAAAATACCACTTTCCCTTCAGAAGTGACCCATTTAATACAGCTCACTTTTGAATGTTGTAATTTAAGTATGAATACAGCCATGTTGGGGAGGTCTCAGAGGTCTGTTAGACAACATTATTGACAGATCAGGAACAATGTCATGGTGAAGCTTTAAACACTTAAAAGCAGTAGTTAAAATAACTTTAGAAAAATAACTGTTTTTTCTATTGTCTGACAATTATCTTTGTCAGATAATTTTTATTTTTTAATAATTGTATTTTGTGTGTTATAAATAAAATCTTTAGCAGCAGATCAGGTCTTCATTGCAACAATCTTTTCTGTTGGGTTCTCTTTCCTGTAAAAGCACCACATAATATTTATTTTTTTCCTGAAAAGGCAGGAAGTAGATTAAGTTGTTGTCAGAGCTAACACGTGATGTAAAGTAGATGGCACTGAGTGAATGTGTCCAAACCCAGTGTTACAATGCACCCCTCAAAAACGCAAAAATGTTGAATGTACCGCATTGTATATCATTTAGCCACCGTAAAGACAGAAAAGCACTTGTGTTATTTCCTGGACAAACTATTTTGCTCTTTTTTCTGACTTCTTCAGCTTGTTCTGTTGAGTTCTGTAATGGCTCCTCAAGGGAGTCGACCCCTGCTCTGTGTCAAGGATTTGTCCGTCAACAGGACAAAACAAAACTCTTGTCTCCAACTACCAAGATAAGTTCCTCATGTGGAACACTGGTTGTGTCTCTCCCCTAAATATTGTTACTTTCCTTGACTTTTCTGTATCTGTTATTTAAGTGTTTCACTTTTCTTTGGTAGTGATATGTCTTCATAGATGCTGTGATTGTGTAAGAACTGAAACACAACATGTTGTCCAAGAGTAATGAACCTGACAAGTTCATTTGACATTGCTAAAAACTGAATAGGAAATGAAACAATTGTGACACTAAGATAATCCACGGCCATTGTGCATTTTACCCCATTTATGACTTTAATTGCATCTGTTAATTAATCCTAATATGGTTGAACAGAGAGTGATGAGGTTGGAGAATGATGTGATGAGGGAGTTTGCAAATTAGAACAAATTTAATTTTTGCTGAGTTTTCTTGGTGCTACAATTACCTTTCATCATTGATGAGGGTTCTAGATTTTCAATTCTCTGTCCTCTACTATGCATGCAGGACACTTTTAGGTTGTTTGCAGTTCACACAGGCAATTGCATATAAGTGTCATACATCTGGAAAAATGAACAACCACAAAAAAAAAATACAAAAACAAAAAAAAAACAGATTTCATAAAAAATTGTAATTGAGCAGTGTCAGCGTTATCTATGTAACGACAGAAATGGTGATGCAATTTCAGAACGTTCTGAAATGTACTATGCACAAGGAAAAAAATAATAAATTCCTGTTATTAAATTAAATGAGCTTATTTTCTGGATTTACTTGAAGTCCAGAATAGGTTCTTTTGGAACATTTTGAATTCTTTGATGGTTTATCTTTACATTCAACAAGAGCAACTTCTGACAGCAACTAACTTTCACTCCCTGTTCTTCTTTCACAGCCTACTCAACAACAATCATATACGAAGGATTCCCAGGGGAGCGTTTGAAGACCTAGAAAACCTAAAGTATCTGTAAGTTTGCTGCATTTAATTTTGTTTTCTCATATGTTTAAGAGGGATGTTATTTATTGGTTCTAAAATGACACAAAACAAATTTTTGCTTAACCTTTTGAGTATTTCTTATCCAATTTTGCAGCTAAATTAACTCCTGGGAGAACCTGGTGATCATTGCGCCTGACTCTTTTTCATATATATCTATTTTTTTTTCCATGTGTGTTTGTGAAGAAGGGTATTGTTACAAATCATGCAGAATGTCATTTCAAAAATTATATGCTCTTATAAGCAAAATTCTTGCAGTGTTGCTGGAGGGAGGAGTAGCTTCATGAAAAGAGTTTTAGTTCAAAGTATTCTTATGCCAGCTGTGTCCTGAGCATATTATCTATCCTTTTTATGCATGTGCAGTCAAAGCGGTGGCGGCATCTTCTGCTTGGGGCAAAGAATGAGGAGAATGAGTCGCTTGCATGCTGTTGTGAAAAACGGCACTCCAGGACCCCGGGATCTCATTTTCTCATTTTAATTGGTTGGGGGCAGCAGAAGGAGGGGCTCGCACAGAGATCCATTCATGCAAGAACCACCATTGGGTACCAGACAGAAGGTTTTTATTTATAAGCATTCTAGAATGAAAGCTGGTCACAGGTTTTGGTATATTTATTGTTAATTTCACCAACTCTATATTTTTTATATGTAGCCTAATCCGATCTTGAATTCAAATTATACATTGTATTAAAAAGAAAAATCTTCTATAAATAAGTAAACTTTTTTTAATGAACATCAAGGAAGTGCTAACAATGTAACATCCTGTTTAAAACTGAGATAGAGACTCACTTTAGCTGCTACAACTGAGAGCTAGACCTTACAGCCATTTTGTACTTTTACTGTTTTTTGTTTTGGACCTGACTATATGTCAACTATGTGGTCATATTCAATTGATTAGAGTAGCATTGAAAGTCAATTTATTTCAGTAACTCAATTCATTAACTCAGACCAATTTAATGGATTAATTACACACAAACTGGGTTTTTAAGCATTTGTTTGTTATATTTTGTTACTTTTCTACTTTTAGCTGATGAAAACCCAACATTTAACATTAGAAAATTACAAAAAGACCAATTGAAAACATTTGAAACCAAAAATGTGTGCCTAATAAGATATAGAAGTAGCTTTTTGGAGTAATTTAACCTCACAAATAAGCCCCACTGGAATACTTAATCTAATTTACTGAAAAGTTGATCTGGATCATACATCAGCTTTTTAGTAACAAAAATAGTTGTTACTTCTTTTTGGCTGTGTTTCACTGAATACACTCTGAATATGAATTAGTATTGCTCTGACCCTGCTGGGGGGTCAGAGCTGGAACCAAGTAGTTGTGTCTGTTTACTGATCAGTTCAAGCTGAGTTATTTTTTACAAAACTGAATTTTGCTTTGGCTCCAAAGCAGACCACATTTAGGTGATCCATTTGACCTAAACAACTGAAATTAGATGCAATTAATGTTTGAGTTCAACTTCACAGCAGGTAGGAACAAACAAGAGGCTTGAGACAAGAGAGAATCAGCTTTTTTGTTTTCCTCTCCACTGGATTCCAATCAAGTGCCTACAGATTCCTTATGGTCCTTATTTGTAATTAAATCCTGCAGCTGTTTTATCACTTTTAATTAGGGAGCCCCTTCCCATCAAAACACAGCTGATCTGAGGACTGCACCGCTGCAGGGAGAGTTTTCAGATTGTTTTCTTTTACAGATGCTGTTTCCCATTAGAGAATCAAAAGCTTTCTTTTTTCCTTAGATGTAGAACTTTAAAAGTTTCACACTGTAGCAGTGCGTTGCGTTTGCATCCATTGTGGACGGTTATTTTTTTGTAGTTTATCAAACTATATTGTCTGAAAAAATTGAAAATGAAAAGTTAAGCATCTCAAAAATAACATTTTGAAAACAATTATTTTGTTGTTGGAACAATATTGTAAAATGTAATTTGTCTTCTGATTTAATGTCGGTGAAGAAACAAATTTCATTGGAGTTGTTGAAACATTCTCCAGACATTTCAATCTGATCTCTTTGAGCAACACACTTTTAGTTCATTAGTTAGTTGTTTAAGTTTACCTGCAACAAAGAGGAAAAGGTTGTAAGAGTGAAAAGCGACGGAAAGGCAGATTAATTGAATGCCAGGCAAGGCCATTTTTCGTGCTAAGTATCTTGTATTCTTGCTGGTTTTTAACCTAAAGTTAACCAGCAAGTGTAAATGTCTCACCACACTTTAAGTTCAGTCCGTTTATTTTCTTTATTTATGAATGTATTTTGAAGTTAGATTTGCAGATGTTGTTTATTTGGTCTTAACAATACGGTTGAAGTCTGTTGAATGTGCTGGACAGACATAGGTGGCTTTAAGTTCTTTTCAAAGTTGTAAGTTTAAGTCACAAAAATGGCTCATTTAATCCGAAATGGACAACTTGCTATTTAGTCTACCCACAGAAGGTTAAACTAGTCAATGGCGCTGCAGTCTGGGTGGCACTGTGGCTGCTGCTTGAATGACAGGCATTTTCACAATTTCTAATGTCTGTCTCAGATTTATGAACGTTGGGATAATTTGCAGCTGAGTCGTTCAAAAACATGATACAATGGTCCTGTATCTTGCTATTATGCATCTGTTTAACTATTTTGTTTGGTTATTTTTTACAGAGTGATTATGTTCAACCAAAGTTTAGCTCAAATTGTCTTGGTGGATTCCTGTTCTGTAAAATAACTCAGTTTTTTCTAATCTTGTTTTAATGGGGGGTTTATTTGTTGTTGTTTTTATTTAATTCTTGCTCTGGTGGAGATCTGCATTTCTCATTATATCCCGGGTTAAAATCATGAAGTGTGTGATGGGAGATGAAAGGATGCACAGCTGGAAGCTATTGCTTTTCTAGGCTCACATTTCTTTGACTTGTATTGCGGAAGAATAACATGCCCATGAGGAGGGCGGTTTGTCTTTCAGGGGCGCCTGGTGATCCTGAACATTGTGTTTATGATTCCAGTCTGTTCTACATTACTACATGGAGCTTGCAGCAAACATTTGACCCACGAAAATTTGTTATGCTTTTTATTACTTTGATCATTTCTCACATTTTTATTTGTTTTGGATATTTTGGTAACAATTTAGATCACTGAAAAGACAGCAAATGGTTTCCTTGTGATGCAGATATAGCAACTTGCTACGTATTCTGAGTGAGCCTGTTGTGCAACTCGGAGACTATTGAGTTTTCACTTCAAACTTTTTTGATTATTGATCCTGAGCAAAGAGTTTGCTGTAAAATGAAATATATTGAAATGTCTACATAATACATACCATAAATGTTTGTTATATTAATTTGCAAGCAAGAAAAATAAGCAATTGATCAGCAAGGACAATTGGTATATTTGTAATTATACCAATTGACAATTGGTATAATTGTCAATTGACAATAATTGTCAAAGGACAATTGACAATTATTGAGCCTTTTACAATTTCTCTTTATTCTTCAGCCGTTTGCCTTACATGTTTACAGAAAGATAGTGGCTTTTTCATTGTAGGCAAACAGCATTGGGTTAGATACATTTGTGTAAAGGTTTTTAATTTATCACTAGTAGTAAAAACCATTGTGAAAGTTGCTCTATTTAATTTTTTGGGGCAAATTAAGTTATTTTTATAACATGCTATAGGACTCAATACTTTTTCTCTATAAATAGAGAAAATTAAGATGTGTGAGTGTTACTAATGTCACTGATTATCTCTCCTTTCAGCTATTTGTACAAGAATGAAATCCAATCAATTGACAGACAAGCATTTAAGGGCCTTGTCTCTCTTGAGCAACTGTAAGTGACCGAGTTCTTCATTCACCTTTTCTATTTGCTCGCAGCGTTCTGCCTTCTTATACCCATTAGTACATGGCTTGACCCCTCTCCCCTCTTCTGAGGATCTCTGTAAAGAAAACCCAAAGCCTGGCAAAGCTGACATGCTTATGAGTCATACAGTGCATAAATCAAAGCATGTTCTTTACTTCTTAGGTTGTAGATGGGCATCATGCTGCTACATGCGACGGCACTTTTCCATTTTTGTTGCCACTATGCATGCCATTTGTGCACCTGACCTTTGTCTGCTGTGCTGTGACCCACTTTGACTCTCTCTGCATGAGTCGCATGGTGATCATGACAGCTTTGCCCCGACCCCTCTGAAGCTTTAAAACTTAATATGTCGCCGTGTTGTGCTGCAGCCAGGAGCGCTGTAGAACAAAGCTTTGACCCACGTCTGTCTTCTTGCTGCAAAAGTCGTACATTCCCTGTGATTTGCTATAATTTTGTGTGTGTGTGTAATTTCTTTCTAGATAACCATGCATAACGTGAGCTTTGTTTGTGTGATAAAGTTCAACTGTTTCCCATAAGTCCTGAACATTGCACAGTTTTGTAGCGATGTACCAATCCACTTTTTTTCTTTTGATACTAATACAGATATCTGAGGCTCAGTATCGGTTGATGCTGATCCAATACTGCAAAACATCTCAGGCACATTGTCACCATACCCGATCTAGAACTTCATTCAATATTGGGACCGAAATGGTTGTTAATATCGGATTGGTGCATCTCTACAATTTGGGGATTTGGATATTCTTGAACTAATGCTTGAAGCCGGCTGTTAAAGAGAAGTAACTAGAAGTCCAAACTGGGATGTTGCTTGGAAAAAATATAATTCTTACATTTAATTAAATTTTTATGTTGTCTGCAGTTAGTGGGAAGCTGAGATTGTATGTTTTTATTTATGTTTCAGTATGAATTGTGATTCAATGCATTAATAATAGTAAAAACACATCCTAATCAACTTGGCTACAATGTGAAATCATGATTGGACTTTAAATCCCTTTAGATCGCTGTGTTCAAATTAATTCACCACACCTGATTTCTGTTTCCTGTTTTGGGACGCAAAAAGCATGAATGAATAAGTTTTAACCCCACAAAGGTTTGAGAAAAACAGAAAATGAATTTGTTCTTATTATATTTGCAGTAAAATACAATAATCCTCTTAATTTAGTCGCAAACAAATTGAACTCAGTGTAATGCAATATATATTTTAGTGGGTCATCTTAACAATAATTTTTATGTGCTGTGCCCTTTCTTAACTCAATCAACAACAAATAACCTGTGTAATAAAATTAATTTTCAGTGTCAGACCAAGCAGCTGGGTTGAATTTCCCCCAATAAAGGAATACATTATGTGTTGGTGGCAAGTTGTAAATCCCAGTAATTCTATTAAAACACATGCCGAGGCATGAAGTCTCATTGTTCTGAATGAGGAGCATCACAAATCAGTGGTTGATGATTCTCCTGTGATTCATAAGTGTCTAAGCCTCATGCCTGATTTGCTGTCAACAAATGCAGTGGCTTTGGCTTGTATCAGCATAACCTGATGATTTATGGCCAGTAATGAACTAGGCCTAAAAGAAATTTATCATGGCTTTACTCTCTGATCTCTGACGTTTAAAAGGTCCTTTGTTGTCTTAGTTTGCTTTTCTGCTGCATTCGTGTTGACTCCCAGGTGAAAGCAATCCCAATTTGAAACCTTATTGATTATTTTTATCCAACTGTCTTGATTTTTTTCTGCATTTATATTTTGTCTCTCCAATCTGAGAAAATGCAGATGCAATGCTGATTTTAGTATATTGTAGTTCTCTAAACAAAAGCCTTAATTATTTGTTCCTTTTTCTATAAACATTTTTAAGTAGATCACATTTTACTAACTCGCATTACAAATGAACTGAATTTGACTCTATTGCATTCTAATTGGGACAAACTCTGGACTGCATGATATTGGATCTGAATCCAATAATCTGATGTTTTTAGTGGATTGTATTAGGTAATTTGGGAAGATTTTAGTTGAATTTGGTCAAATCGGATTTCATATCATATGAAAAAAAAATTCAGCTGTTTGACATGCAAAGTACCCTCAGCTACTGCTTGTGTTTGAAATATGCAAAACAAAAAATGATTAGATTTTTTTTTCTCTTACATTCTGTTTATATAATACATAATTTTACTGTTTTATTGACCACTGCTTCATATTACGGAATTGAATAAAATTAGACATAATTATGAATTTACTCATTTGTCTGCATGACTCATCTAGCAGGTATGAATGCAGTGGTGATAGCAAACCTTTTCCTTAACCAGAGCTGAAGTTTGCTAAAAAGGCACTTGAGTTACTTTAGAGTGAGAAGAAATATTTTTCATTAGACTACAGAAACCTAACATTTACAGTAACTGGTTACTGAGCATAACTATTTAAATATCACTCACACAAATTAAAACATCCAAATAGAAAGGACCCAGAATTAGTTGCTTTGACCTCATCTCAAGTGTTTGTCAGAATCCTTACTTAAATTGCATACTTCAGACATTTTCTCTAGAAAATGTTCCACGTTTACTTCCTTGAATTTAAAATTGGACCCTTAAATTTTAAACATAAATATGTCACAAATGCCTACATGTAGACTCCTGCAGTCTGCCAAGATCCACAGTGCCATTTTCTTCATAGTTATTTCTGACACACAATTGTCCAAACCTGTCCCCACCCTGCCCTCACCCATTCCATTCCATAGAATAATGTAACATTTTATAATCATAAAACCTGAAATGCCTATTTGCACACTTTGTTCTGTTTCAGCTACCTGCACTTCAACAGCATTGATTCTTTGGAACCGGAATCCTTCAGCCATCTGCCGAAGTTGGAACGACTGTAGGTGCACTCTGTCTCACCTTTTTGCCAAAATTCATAAAATATATTTAGTTCAGACACAAGTATAGTTAAAATCTGCTCTTATGAATCAGTAAACTGTTATATTAACTGTTACTAGGTTTATGAGATTTTGTTTATTTAGCTAGATGCAATAATTAGCAAAGTTTTATGAAACTCCTTCTCTTGTCCCTTATGCACTTAATCATATGTTAGGTTCTTGTTTCATTTTTTAAACCTGGTGTATTTGCACTTGCAGCCTTGAGTCCATGTAAATAGATAGAACACCTGCAGGGAAGAAAAAAAAAGGAATAGGGGAAGGAAGAAATTCCCAGGTGCGTAGTTGAGCCATTGTTGGGGAAGATTTCCATGGACACAGTCAAAGCAGAGGCAAGAAAGATCTTTGAATCAGTTTCCTGAAAGGAAGGATACAGAAATGTGTGGCAAATTGATCAAAAAGTCTTGCATATGCAGGAAAATGCTTTGTTGTGTCTACGGTGGAAAAAATGTTTGATGGCACTGTTATCTGGAAGGACAATGATATTTGTCCTGTGTTAAAAACACAAAATTAAGTCACCAAAAACAACATCCTTTCTCCACACGTCCTGTTTTATTGCCCACTTGTTCATTTTCCTGTTTTCTGTCTCCCTGTCAGGTTTTTGCACAATAACAGAATAACACAGCTCATCCCAGGAACCTTTGCTCATCTTCAGTCCATGAAACGATTGTAAGTGCAAAGAATTCTAAATAAAAATACATAATACATCTTTAGAGCAAACAGATTGTTAAAATGACAGCATCTTGATGATTATATTCTCCTGAAATATGGCTTTTTTTTTTATCTTGACGCCAGCTTTTTCTATGACTGAGTTTTATCTCCTGAGGAGAAATCAGATATTCAGCTCTTGTTTAAGTGTTCTTGTTCCTCTTTTCCCACTCATAAATTTACTTCTAATGTTTGATAAATCTTCTGGAGAGACTGACTTTGCTGTGATTTTGGCTTTTGATGTAGGAACATATAAACAAAATTAGACTGTGAAAAATTATTGAAAACCTCAAGAGCTTGTTCATCAAAACTTCTTGAGTGTAAATCATCTTTTTTAGGTGACACATTGTAGTAAAGCTGAACCAGAAAAGGAGACCAGTTCTCACAGTGAGAACAATCTGTCCCAGTCTCTTTCTGGTGGGCCCCACTGTTTGCACTGAGCTGGGTTTGGTGGTGCCAGACACACTGTAGTTCATGAAGTGTCACAAAGGAATGTTTTTAACCCTGCTGCACACAGTTAAGGTGATCACAGGTCGACAGCTCTGAGGTGCATGTGTGACTGGATTGAAATCAAAACTGCTCAGGCTGCATGTCGAGGTGTTCTTGGCCACACGTGATGTTATTATTATAAAACTGACACAGTTTTTCATTTGGTTCAGTATAAAACTGAACCAAATGAGCAGATTGCCTTTTACTAGGCGACAAAATTTCCACTCTGATTTTTTAATTTTTTTTTTTTTTTTAGTGTGTGCTGTCTATAAAGCCTGACTTATGTATGATGCAGTCAAAGTAAAACCTTTGGTTTTGTATCCCGCTGAGCAACATACCTGAAACTAATCATATACCTCTTGAGACTTCAGTCAGTATTAATACCATGCATAACCCCGATTTAGGCCTTAACTTAAATTATATAGGCCTGTTTGCCTGTCCTTTAAACAGGTAAACAGTTTTTTCTCGTGGGCCCCGCTGTGTTTGGAAATCAGGCAAAAAGCCTGCTCTAACAGTGATCTAAACTTCAGGCTCTACCATATATTGTCAAGCCGAAGTCGAACTATCGATGCACTGTCACGTTCATTTTCAACCACATCCTTCAAAGACAAGCTCCTATGAACCCTCTCCTGCTGCAGTACATGCCATGGTGTTTTTGTCATATGTATGATTTACAACTGTATAATAAACACAACGATCAAGACTTAAAGGAACAACTTTTACGAGTTGGCAACTTCGAATGAGGAAGAAATAATGACTACTGAGCTGCAACATCTTATTTTACTTTTAATTTTGTTGGAAGCCAAAGAAAAATAATAGAAGGTGTTGATGGGATTTTCTCCTGCAGCATCGTATCAGAAGTGAGCAGGGGGACTTTATTGTGTTGATTCATCAAGACATACTTCCTCATGGCCCTCAGACCATTGCTTGTCAAAAATATCCATGCTGCTCTCATGCTGATGAAGTCTATTATAATCATAACTTTCAACCACTTTGATTTTATTGATAATTAGGGTCTAACAGCATCCGTTTCTGCAAACAATTCAACTGAAATGAGATAATAATGAACAAAAAACACCTACATATGTTTGAGTCACATAAAGATGTGTATGCATTTATCTGTGATGTTTCCAGGGACCATTTTTACGTCTTCTGATTTGCTCTTTGCTTGTGTCCATGTTTGTAGGCGGCTGGACTCTAACGCTTTAAGCTGTGACTGTGAGCTGCTGTGGCTGGCCGACCTGCTGAAGCAGTACGCCGAGTCAGGAAACGCCCAGGCTGCTGCCACCTGCGAGCATCCCAGTCGACTACAGGGCCGATCAGTGGCCACCCTCACTGCTGAGGAGCTCAATTGCGGTACAGACAGAAGAAAATATAAATACTTTATTTTGATTGTTTTAAAAGTCTCTTAATGTTGCTTCTTCAAACCAGCTATTAGCCCTTTGTGGCATTAATGTTTTCACCTCAGTGGAATTTTGTAACACCTGGGAAAAAGTATCCATAGTCTTTGAACTTCATGACATTTTATTATGGTACAACCACAGAATTCAGTGTATTTTTACAAAATGAAAAATAAATATCTGGATTTGCAAAGGCGGGAGAGAAAGAGTGCCAGTAGAGGTCAATAAAATGGTGCTTGCTTAATTTTGAAACTGAGAAGAAAAAAAGTTAATCTGGTCAATAAAGTCATGTATACAAACAGAGATGTAAAAATATTTACAGTTTATGTAAGCACTGGTGCTTTTGGGGACCGAATACCGCTGGTCCACAGAAATGTATTGGGTCTAAGCTAACTCAACTTCTCATGCAAAATTTCATTGCAACTTCCGTCCAATTTGTTTTTATCTTTCTTTAACATTTACTAAAGTAATTGTTTAGTACATACAGACAATAGCTTAGCCTTCCTTCCTGCTAGCAGCACCTGTGTTGAGTCATGTATAAACTGCATAATCTATGCACACACTGCAGAAACATACACCTACGGGTGTACGTTTCTGTTCTTTGTCTTAGCTCTGCAGCTGTTTTGCTCCTGGAAAAATCTACCCAGCTGGAGGAAATGTCAACCTGTGGTCACTGCAACAACAAGCATATGTTTACTTTATCACTGAGAGGGGATAAGAGTTTATCTTATTTTGTTTCTTAAGTATAAAGGATATTTGCAGCACAAAAATTAAATTTAATAAGCGTATGCAATGTTCCTACTAGGTCATGAGAAGTTTGAAAAAACATGGACTGTGCATAGGTATTTTTTTTTTAAGTTTGTCAAAGAAAGAAATGGAAACATATCAAAATGTTATAAAGACATCAAAAATATTTAATTAATTAAATTCTGAAGAAGTCAGTCTGAATTGGAAAATGTGTAGAAACCCTTGACATAGACAAACATCTGCATTCATACTTGTGACAGAAGTCCCACTACTTCTAGCTGTACTGCAATCTAGGCATTAGACAAGCTCTTTCATTTGAACCTTTCAATCAACTTGCTTAAGTTTTACACTTACAAAAGGAATGTCAAATTATTTGTTGAGTAGGGATGGTTTTTGCTTTTATGTAAAAGCAATAATTATTTATACTGTTGCTAACTTACTATACATTGAAGTTATCTAATAATAATCTCTACCATTTATTTTCTATTTTATCTTAATTCTCAAACCTAAGCAAAGACAAGAAATAACTCTCACATCAATGAATATTAAGTGCTAATTTGCAGAATACTAAATGTTTTTGATGTTCTGTTCTTTCTAGAATTGACAATGGAAGTATAGCAAGCTATTGGATGGTTAGTGATCTGTTTTCTAATTTGTCTGTTTTGGATGAGATAATAACAGTAAGTTTATTCACACTTCTATGCAATAAAAGTGGAAAAGAAAAGTCCTTATTTAGTCTGATTCCATGCAGGCTCCAGAACTAAATCCACTTGTTATAAACCTGTATTTTCTCCAGCTCCCTCTAAATCCCTCAGTCTGAACCAGGCAACTGTATCTTAACCACAGTTTAATCACAGCAAATAACTTTAATGGCCTTAACATGCCCACTCCTGCCCACTGTAGCCCTCCCTCTCCCTCACATCCATCAAAAGAATGTCTTCCTGAAAACATGGTGAAAGTCATTCTACACTTCTCTCCATCAGTCAGTTCCTTCACGGTCCACTTCAGACCATGTAAGCAGGGTGGTATGCTGTCTAGTAAGAGGTGCAGTCCAACTTCCATCCCTTTGGAGTTCAGTATTTACGGTGTTTGTGCATTGATTGACCTACTGACCTATCCATTGGTGGATGCAAAACTGTCGTCATCACAGTGGTTGTTTGTGTGAGAACTTTGGAGGAAACTACTTAAAGGAGTTGCTTGTGATCTGAATTGGTGAGCAGACGCTGTGAAAGTGTCTGCTCAGCTCCCACAGGGAACTGAATCTCCCATTGGGACATGGGAAATGTTCTTGTTTGTTGCTTCTGTGTGTCTTAGATTTCACATGCTTGTGGTGACCATTAATCCAGATCACCACTGAGTACAGGAAGTACATCCTGTCAGAAACTTCTGGAATTTGGCCTCTGAATTAGCGATTCTTCCAACAGATCTGGTTCAACAGAGGCTCGGGACAGTTGTGGTAAGAAATAAGCTTACCATATGTTGTTATGGAAAATTAATATGAGATACATTATCTCCTGTTGACACAATATCAGCAATCTTTCTGGGGATGCGGTTGTTCCTGCCCTTCACCCTATGAATGGCTATGAGGCTGTTTCCAAACAATTTGGGTTTGTCAATCTGCACATAGGAATTATTCTTAGAAAATGAAGAAAATGGCAAGAAAAGACCTGAACTCCACACAACTGTGAGCACAATGTCCTTCAGATGGGAGAACGTAGAGTGGAGATGTTTGGCTGGACTGCAGATTTATATATATGAAGAAAACCCAACACAGGATATCAGCACAAACACACCCACGCCAACTTTTTTGTTTTGGTTCGGAGACACAAGACCTGTGCAGTTTAAAGCCATTAAACTGACTGAACTTTTCTGTATATCACTGTATTATTAGGTTAACAAAAATGTGAAGTCAAGTTACATTCAAAGCATGGACTTTGATTTGTGTAATTGTCATTAATTTTTCTTATTGAATTTTGTCGTTGCAGAGGTACCAAGGATCACCTCAGAGCCCCGGGATGTCGATGTCACATCAGGAAACACTGTTTACTTCACCTGTAGGGCTGAGGGAAACCCCAAACCTCAGATTATCTGGCTCAGGAACAAGTAAGATTTATCCAAACCTTAAAAAGATCAATTAAAGGAACTGAGATCAATTATACATGTTAGTTTTAGAAAACTAACATGCAACTACATTTAAAAAAAAATATATTCTGTCATAGTGATTAATGTATTTTTTATGGATTATTGGAATGTTGAAATGTTTGTTTGTTTCTCACAAACCTTTCTGTTGTCTACTTGTCTAAGATTTTATTGCACTTTTAGCTTGGCAGAAGGATGAGAAGAAAAAGGAGACATTCAACAAACAGGCTGCAGTTGGGAATAAAACTCAGGACAAAGAAAAATATGGCCTCTGTAAATGTTGTTCATTGGCTACGTTTTTGTTTCGAACAATAATGTACAACTGAAACTGAAAGTAAATAACTCTGCAAATTGATGATGACCAGATTATTTAGATGTTTATATCAAAGAATTAACACACGTTGTAAGTTATGTTTACCATATCCAATACTTGATATCTTTCACTTCCCTCAACTCTCTTTTATATTTTGTTCCATTGAGAATAACAGATTCTTTTTGGGAATATTTTTGTAAATCAAATAACATTACAAGAACACAAAAAAATACAGTCTAAAACTATCCAACCATTTAGAGCAAACCATATTTGCATGTTTTTTGTTTTGTTTGTTTGCAGCAATGCTTTAAATATGCGAGATGACAATCGTCTGAACCTCCTGGAAGATGGGACATTGATGATTCAAGACACCAGAGAGACTGACCAGGGAGTTTACCAGTGCATGGCCAAGAATGTAGCTGGGGAAGTCAAGACTTCAGAGGTCACTCTTAGATACTTTGGAGCCCCCTGTAAGTGCACTACTTTCCTTTCTCTATCAGCTTGTTATGCAGTTTCCTGCATATTCTCATAGAAGTTGAATACAGGCTCATTGGAGAGTAATTACATCAAACAAACTCCAGTATAACGCAGGGATGTGAGTTTGTGTTGGAAAATCTGGCTAATGTCGGCATGGTTACTTTGATATGACTTGTTGACCATTTGATTGTAGCATATTCTGGTTAATTATGTTACCAAATTTACCTAACAGAGGCATATTTTGAAAATGGGTATATAAAAAAACCAACAACAAGCTCTTCTCTGTCCTCTATCAAGAGTAAAGTGAGCGAAGAAAGTCAAATGACATAGACAAACTGGAAACCGATGTCCCTGCCCCGGTCCCTGTCCTATGAATGTAATTTAGAAAAGTGAAGAAGGCTTGATTTAGAAGCAAAAAAACAGATTTGATTAACAAGCTGCATTAAATCCAGGTTGTCCACATAAAGGTAGGATGGGATTTTTAAACAGTACATCAACAAATGGTATCAGGAGTTGGGTTCTGGTAGAGAATATTTGCAAACATCACTTTTAAAAGCTGTGACTTGGACCCCAAGCCAATACTTAAGATTGAATCAAGACATAAATTCTGTGCATTTAAAAAAATGTTTTTTAAGGAGGACATCTACAATTGCCAGGCATAAATCTCCTTACCAATAAAAGTCTGATTAATGCATCTCTAAATAATTCTTAACTATAGATGAAGAAGTGTCTTTCAAAAGAAAAACATTTTAACTTTATGGAGACTTCTTGTGTCAAAAAATAAATAAATATGAAGCAAAAAAAACTGATAACAGAATATTTTTGTGGATGTTTTGGTTGAAACTGAGTCCATCAGACGTTTCTTAGAACTGATGTGCATTTCCTGTCTGTGTGATGGTAAACCACATATTCTTTGCTGCAAACATATTTTCCTCATTCCACTGCAATCACTGACCAAATAAAGATACATATCCACTGGATTTTCTTTCAATAAACATTGAAAACTGTTTGGTATTTGTCAGGTTGTTTTCAGTTTTGAGTCAATGAACACAAAGGTGGTCTTTACAACCCAGTTTTCTAGAACTTTTAAAGTTGTTGCCAACAACAAATACATCACTGTTTTGGTTGATTAAAATGTTTTATGCTGTCTTTCACAACTTGAACACTGAGTTAATTTTTGTTTCGCTTCAGTTGGAGGTTTTTTTTTGTTTTGTTTTGTTTTTACATACTGTGGAGTTAAGTAGTTTAGAAGCTTAACATTTATACCCAAATACTGAAGAGTGTTGAAATGTGAAAATTGTACCAAAGTTCAAGCGCAATGCAGGCCAATATTACCTGATACTCATATTGTGGCTGATATCACAATTATTTCCGATATCAATATTGGATCAGGAGAGCATGGACCTGATCCAATATTGGATCAGCATGGATCTCATCAGTGTAAAACTCTCTGGTTCTAGATTTAGCTTGGTATTTAGCTTCGTTAAGTAACAGGTTGTTGCAATTTGTATTTCTATTGATTTTTGTAGTATTTGGAACAGAAAAAACTTTGCCCTACCAAAACATAATTCTGTCATCTGCAAAGAAGAAAACATTTTGTAATGTCAATGAACTTTGTAGAGCTTAGTGAAGTTATCTTGATCCTCATTTCAACTTTACTCCTCCCTCTTCTCTTATTCTTCCAGCCCGGCCAAGTTTCGTCATTCAACCCCAGAACACGGAGGTGCTGATGGGTGAGAGCGTGACCCTGGAATGCAGCGCCACTGGTCAGCCACAGCCAAGAGTCACATGGACGAAGGGTGACCGCACGCCGTTGCCCAGTGATACTCGCATCAACATCACTCCATCTGGGGGGCTTTACATCCAGAATGTTGTCCGAGAGGATGGAGGTCTATACACATGCTTCGCCTCCAATAATGTGGATACCATACATGCTACAGCACGCATCATTGTCCAAGGTAAAGCTTTTCAATTTAGGTTTCTATTAGTGTAAATGTTTTGTTTTTTTGTGTTTTTTTTTTACTATATAAATCCTAAATGTTGTGTTATTCACACAAAAACATTCATCAGTCTCACAAAAACTAAGCTAAATTTAATTAATCACAATTCTTATAAAAACAAACAGGGGATAAACTTAAATTCATTCCAAATATTCAATACAATCTAAACCCAACATAGGTGTGTCATCTTGACAGAGGAGTAGTTTTTGTAAATTTTTTAAAATATTTGGAAAATCTTATTTTTGTTAATAGTTAAAATGATCTGCATGAAAATGTCATGTTGTTTTATTTTGTCTCCTATTTTGAACAGCGACTCCCCAGTTTACCGTCACACCACAGGACCAGTCAGTTTTGGAGGGTAACACAGTGGATATTCCCTGCGAGGCGAGCGGTTACCCAGAGCCGGTCATTGTCTGGACTCGAGGCGGAAATGTACTTCCTTCTGACCGACGACATACGATTCTGCCTGCTGGTACCTTCCGTATAACTCGTGTTGCGACCCACGACGAGGGCCAGTATGAGTGTGAGGCAGTGAGTCCTGTGGGGACAGTGCGCGCAACTATGCAGCTCAGCATTGAGCAAAGAGGTGAGAAACTAAGAGGATCAGATCACTGAATAACATGAAAATGTTCCCAGATCTCATAGTACTCTGACACAGTGCAACATCATCGGTGTACATGCAAAAGAGAAACCTGGTTTTCTCAGAGATTTATCACATATTTCACTGAATCTAACAGAGGTACAGCTTTCACTCTTAAGCACACTACTGACCTACTCACCACTAAAGTGTGTGCAAATTGTTGATTAAACCTGAGTGTGAACAGAGCAACACACTCTGGTGTGATTGCGTGTTCACACCAGAGTACCTGTGCTTGTCAAAAAGGACCAAAAATTACAATGTCTACCTCAATTTGACCAACTTGATGAGTCATCTTTCTGTAAATTAGGCACTATATTGACAATGGGTGGATTTATCTTTTTGTGAAATTTTTGTAACCCTGGCTGGCCAGCCTCACCACAGAATACCAGTACTTTTAATCCATCTTGCCAGATCCATGAGCATTTCTCCTCACTTTTTCTACTCGTCAATAAATCCCCATGTAAGTCTTTACTGTATGAATGACAATTGAAGGTGGGCACTGTTGTTACTACTTTCCCTTCAGTTGACCATTATGTTATGCATTAATGCCTGAGTTAGATATTCCAAACATTATGCAATTACTGTTTGGAAAGTTTTGGCTGCATTCTCAAATGTTTTGTACTAACTTTTTCTCTTTCATGCTTTTTTTTTTTCTCAATACTTCTCAATTTTGAGGCACAAAAATGAATTTAACGATTGAAATCATATGTCTTTTTATGGTTGGCTTAAGAAGTTTGTGTACCGGTTAAAAAAACAAACTCAGCTGAAGTGATGGACTTGATTGCTCGGTATTACAATGCCTTCTATGTTTGCATGGCTTTTTCCTCGCAGTATAAGCAATTCAGTTTTATGTGTAGCGGAGCTTTATTGCCTCCTGTGAACATGATTTCATTGAGTGTGCAGCTGAAATTACAGGCCCGACATAACACAGGAAAGCATGGCAGCCTGTAATCCTGAGATGACACCATGTTTTTCCATGTAGTAATGGCTGTTAACATGGCTTAAAGTACATGCTGCATAATGGCTCCTCAGTGTTTAAGGCGGGGTGTCGGACCACAACCCTGGTGGCAGAGTATGACAGCTGCTGTTCAGCTCCAAACAATGCTGAGAGATGAACAGTAAGATGAGAAAGTGAATCTCATGGGAACTGTCAAAGAATTTCACATTTTGATTTTCTCATTACGCTCATTACAGTTTTTCTGCAGTCTTAACAGTTTGTGCGCAGCTGTGCTCTGAAAATCAAATAAAACACTCCCAGCTGCAGAAATGTTGTGTCCTTTTCGTTTTAGTGAGTCATATGTTTCAGCTAATTAAAGTCAGGCTTGTACAAAATGTCATCTGTGTGCGCGTGTGCGTGTGTGTGTGTGCGTGTTCGTGTGTGTGTGAGTGTGCACTTTTGTGGGGTTTTTTTTCTCTTGCTGAAATATGAGAGAAGTAAAGGGGGGGATGATGAAGACAGTTTAGATTGTGAAAAATTTGACAGTACAGCATGACACAAAGATTAACAATGGTCTACAGTCTCCGGTGGTGAGTGAACCATTGATTTACAGGCTTTTCCAAAACTCACAATCTCTCCCTCCTTTGGGGAATCAGATTTTCAAGAATTATGTAAACGTTCTGCATCACTTTGTAAAAAAAAATAAAAATAAAATCCACAATGTGTTACATTTATGCATTATCTATCTACAACATGAATATTATTAAATATAATATATTTTTCCATTCTTCTCTCTTATGCAGCAGCCCCCCAGTTCACGGTAACGCCACAGGACCAGTCAGTCTTGGAGGGTAATACGGTGGATTTCCCCTGTGAGGCAAGCGGTTATCCAACGCCACTGATCATATGGACTCGAGGTGGAAGTCCTCTTCCCTCAGACCGCCGCCATGTCATCCTGGCTTCCGGTACGCTCCGCATCACTCGGGTTGCTGCACACGATGAGGGCCAGTATGAATGTGAGGCGGTGAGCACGGTGGGAACGGTCCGCACCGCTGTGCAGCTTAGCATCGAGCAAAGAGGTGAGAAACTTGAAGAAAAAAAAAATGTATTACACAAAAATTTGCAGGATTGCCTCCTCACAGGTCTTTTGCTATACAGAAGCCATGTGTTGGAACAATCACACTGAAATAAAAGTACAATTTTCATTAATATGGCCTGTGGCCATGAAACCCTATTTTCTTCCTTGTGGTGGCCCATTGCAAAATGCTCTGTATATATGAATATATACTTTCCTATGTTGGGCTGTGGTGCAAAATTATTAACTTGCATGTGTGTGTGTGTATGTTTTAACTTATTCAGTAACGCCTGTTTTCACAAATGCTCCAAGGGACCTGACTGTGGAGTCTGGTCAGGATGTGCAGATTCCCTGCAGTGCTCAGGGCCAGCCGCGCCCGGTCCTCACCTGGAACAAGGTTAGACAAGCACAAACACCAGAAAAAAAAAAAAGACTCAACCATCATTTGCTTCAACCAGTTTTCTATTGCTTTTATGGAAGTGGAGTTAATTGAGTGTTGGTGCCCGGTTTTCACTGAGAACAGGGAACCTATTTTACATGCCCTGTGCACCACTGCCCTGCATTTTTGTTGTGCCCCAAGAAATGGATAATGTCATTTGTTTTGATTGGTTAGGGGACAGCAGAAGAAAGGGAAGGAAGACATTAACACAAGAACCACCACTGCTCTTAAGACTGACTGTATTTGACCTTGGAGCCATCAGATCCCTGATCTTCTCAGTTGCTCTGTCTTTTAGGATGGTGTTCAGATAACAGAGAGCGGCAAGTTCCACATCAGTGAAGAAGGTTACCTGGAGGTGAAAGATGTTGGCACAGCAGATGCTGGACGCTACGAATGTGTTGCCCGGAACCCCATTGGATACCAGGCTGCTCGAATGGTGCTTACAGTCACAGGTAAAAAAAAAAAAAAAAAAAAAAATATATATATATATATATATATATATATATATATATATATATATATATATATATATATATATATATATATATATATATATATATATATATATATATATCAACCAGACATTGTCGTAGTGGAGAAACATCAGAGGAAAGCCATTGTGGTAGATGTAGCAATACCAAGCGATTGCAACATCAGAAAAAAGGAGCACAAAAAACTGGAGAAATACCAGGGCCTCAGGGAAGAACTGGAGAGGGTCTGGAAGGTGAAGACCACAGTGGTGCCTGTGGTCATCGGGGCCCTCGGGGCAGTAACCCCCAAACTGGAGCAGTGGCTACAACAGATCCCAGGAACAACATCAGACATCTCAGTCCAGAAATGTGCAGTTCTTGGCACAGCCAAGATACTGCAGAACCCTCAAGCTCCCAGGCCTCTGGTAGAGGACCCAAGCTCTAAGGATAAGAACCACCCGCGGTGGGTGAGAAAGGAATTATTAAATGTATATTATGGAACAACCATTGTAACACAAACAGAATTTCAGAGTTGAAGCAGTGACTCCTGTTAGTAATCTTTAACCACGCCCTTTAGTCTTCTGGTCACCGGCTGCTGCTGACCAGTCAGATCTGTGTAGAATGTTCTGTGTATCTGTGTTCCCTGCTGTAACGCTTGAGGTCAGACTGCAGTACTTTGCTAGTGAACCATAAAGTCAATCAATGTGCTCAGTTTTTGTTGGACTTTGTTCTCTCTTCATAGTGAAATGGTTTTTAGAGGCATGGAAGCATGACGGTGTTGAGAAAAAAATACATCTGAAGCTTTAAAGTCGGCATCAAGACATTCTTATCAGTCAAAGTTACTTTCTAAATGTATTTGTGAGAAAGAAACCAGAAGACAAAGAAATACTTATGTCATATTTTCTTCTCTCTGTTTTAAATTCTACATTAATTTGTTCATTTTTTTCTGTCAGTGCCTGCTATCAGCCGAGAGGGAGACACATTTGTGAGCACATCCATAGAGCAGGCCATCCGTACTGTGGACAGTGCAATTGAATCCACAAGGAGACGTCTGTTTGACGGGTAGGACATAATGAACTCACACAGCAAACATATCGCAACACACAGTGTCACACAAACACACTTGTTTCCATTTTGGTATGTTAACAATCCCAAAAATCAAAGCACAGCATGTGAATTTTATGTGACAGACCAACAAAAAAAAGGACATAATAGTGAAGAAGAATGAAAACTATATATTGTTTTCAAATATTATAGATGAGTACAAATCTGAAAAGTTTGTTGTATTTGTAGGCTTAAACATGGGCTTCTGTTTTATTGGAACTCTGGCTGCATGTTTCAGGGTTATCTCATCTTGACTTTGAACTGCTCTCCCTTCCAAGAAATGCCTCCCCACAGCATAATGCTACCACCCACATGCCTCACAATGTAGTTCATGTGTTCAGGACGATCTGCAGTGTTAGTTTTGTGCCAGACGGTGTTTTGTTTCCATTTCAAACAGTTCAGTTTTGGTCTGATCTGATATGACTTTCACATGATTTTATTGTTCTCTGCATGACTTATGGGAAAAAAAACATGATTTATACAAGTTTTTGTTTTTCTAAGCCTAACGGATAATACCTTTTTAGAATACAATCAGGGTGCCTGATATTCAATTGAAAATGTCCTGAGAATTCTTGCATTAGCTGCTTTCAAGATTTCTGCTTCTCTAATTGTCATTGACATTTCAGAATAAATCAGAAGGTAATATTAATGTACCAAAAGTTCCACCATCACACGGATCTTATCCAAAGAATCTCAGAAAATGTAACCCACCACCATCGAAACATGACAGCACAGCTGCATTTTCCAGTCATCGCAGTGTTAGTTTAGAACTTGTTTCTATTGAAAGATGAAAAAGTTTTTAGCTGTGCTTTAGACATTGAGGTCGATGAAGGCCAACTGATGAAGCACACAGTCACACGCACAGCTGATGCAGGCCAACATGATTGTGGGGTGTAAAACAAAAGTTTGCCCCGGTTCATGTTGGCACTTGACTTTTTTGCATAAAAACTGAGCATGTAAAATTAAACTCAAGTCTTCCATGTTGATGGATGACTTAAATGTTGCTTCATGGATCGGGGATCTCAAGATCATCTCGTTTGCAAATGCCTCCATCAGGCATATCTGTCTAGAAATAAATTTCTATTTTATTGCTTTTCTTTGTCTTACTTGAACTTGTCTCTTATTTGTTTTCCTTCCTGTCTGTGTGAAGCTCTTACTAGAGTCAAAAGGTGATAACAGAGGCATTGAAATCTGTCACTGTGAGGAATGGAGATTACCTCAGTTCACCTTTTAGAAGTTTCCATCCTGTTGGATGATGTGGTTAGCAGTTGCGCTTTTCTTGGCATGCTCATATGCACACTCCTGCCCACCCAGGCGTGCGCACACACAAACATACACACATGAAAATGATAAATTCACTCCGGTACACAGCATAGCTATAGCTGTTGTTGCGATGAGGGGGATTTCCAGCTTTGTTAAATTACAATCACAGAATAGGACGCAGCTTTCCCATCGGCTGAGTCAGTCGTCTGGAAACAAAAAGGAATTCCAGCGGGGATGAGGAGCGAGTGCTGCTTCTTTGTCTGACTCAACAACATAGGTTGCTGTGAAACACAAGACAGATTCTCGTAATTTCAACAGTGGTCCACACTGCTACCCAAAAACGTAAACCATTGATAGATTTTTTTTTTAAAAATGTATTTATTCAGTTATCAAATAATTTGTTAGCCATATTTTAGGACACTACAACAATTTAAACAACATGATACAGAACATTTACAATGTTGACTTTCTTTTTTATTACAAACATATTAATAGTAAATATTGGATTCCCACTTCCAAATATCTACAGCAAAACCCCAATTTTTAGATTTTTGTAGCTCCAATTATATACACGACTATAAATTTAGTCCTTAATATCAAATTTATATGCCCCAACCCTTTTAAATTATGTCTGCCCTTGAAAGACTGCAGTCAAGCACCAATTCAAATTTGAATTGTTGTACTATATATAAATTAAAAAAATCCCCTCTCAACCACTGCGGGTGGTTCTTATCCTCTGAGCTCTGGTCCTCTACCAGAGGCCTGTGTTTTGGCAGATGGGTTGAGTTAAAGGAGCTCCAAAAAATTTTATATTAACACCAATATCCACTTTTGATGAGCAGAAACTCAGTGAATGTTTTTTTTAAAAGCTTAGTGAAGTGACTCGCATGTAGGTTTTGTTTGGATTCCTCTTTTTGAAATGCTTCAAAAGAGAAACTAAAACAAGCGCTGTCTGAAAAGTTTTAGGAGAAGATATATTTCTCATCTATTCTGTTTTTTGTTTTCATACATGCTTCTCATCTCCTGCCTTCCCCACAATCTTTGTGCTCCTCCTCTCCAGTCAGCCTCGTACTCCAGGAGAGCTGCTTGCCCTTTTCCGATATCCTCGTGATCCCTACACGGTGGAGCAGGCCCGTGCTGGGGAGATCTTTGAGCAGACTCTTCTGCTCATCCAAAACCACGTCAACCAGGGTCTCATGGTGGACACCAACGGTACCGGTAAGGCTGATTGTAAACTTCATCACTGCTTCATAGAAGTTGTTTCTGTATGCCAGAGAGAGTACTTCCTTTGTAAAAAAAATAATTTGAAATGCATGTATATCCTTCCACTTTATTCTACTTGTGTTGTCAGTTACATAAAACACAAAGAAGATTTGTGTTGTAATGTAGAAGAATTCAAGAGCTTTACAAACTTTTGCAAAGCAGTGAAGCTGTGTTTTTGGTAAGTAAAACATTTCCATTCAGTCTCATGTTTGTCTTGAACCTAATTTCCTCTTCTCCCCTGACTGTGACTTTTTGTTATTGTGAGCAACAATTGACTCTGTCACAGCTTTCCATCTCTACTTCCTCAATAATTGAACCTGAGCGTGTCATAACTATGGAGCAGTTGACAAGCAGCCTTTAAACTGGTTTATTGGGCCCATGACATGGTGTGAAACACTTAAACTTTGTCCAGTGCTCTGCAGTAATTACAGTTTTAACATGATGTGTTGCACATTTAATTGAGCGCGTGTATATGTGGGTGTGTGTGGGGAGACTTGGGTGGAGCAGGGCGGTAAGTGACTGTTTACCACATAAATATCTAAATTGTTGTTACTCTGCTCTCATTAGTGTGTGCCTGAGAGCAAAAACATCCAGAATGTATGTATTCCCGAGAGGAATACATTTTAGAGAACAGAGTCAAAGGTGAAATGCAGTGAAACAAAGCATGTATTATGTTGATTGTTTTGGGAGGGGGGTGGGGGGGGGGTGTAATACATTTCCTGGGCAAGCATATGTACATTATTTTCTTTCAGAAAAGCATATAAATAATAGCTCATTATGGAAATGGTAATGATAAAAGATACTCAATGCTTTAAGTGTAAGATGATGACTCCAGACTAATTTAATTCAATAATTTCACCAGAAACAAATCAGTAATTTTCTTCTGCTTTGGCCTCATCCTTTGGTTCAGCAATATAATTTTTCCTATTTTTCTTTTACAAAAGTGCACAGACAATGTCCAATACTGTCTGTGTACTATGCAGGAAATGATATATCATATATGCAGGAAATCTCTCCTTGAGCTTGGGTTAGTTCTTTCTTCAATAGAGAACTAACTCAAAATTATTCTGTCTGTCCATCCATCTGGCTGATCTTACATTCGTCCCAGCCACAGAAGTTAAAAACATTAGTACAACTTAAATTGTTGGATTTTCTGACTTTCAACACATGAGACTGGGAGACATTTTAGAGAACATAACACATGATGTAATAACGTGATGGGAAATACATCATGTGTTACGATATATTTCAATCATCAGACCAATGTCATTCAAAATGTATGTATGACATTGTACAGTAATATTGGCCTGAGAGATTAATGTACTTCTCAATTATCAGTTGTTGAATTATAGTTAGAAAATCTTTGCTCACTAGAATCTTTTCTAACCAAACATACAACCACATTATTCTCAGTAGCAAGCAGAAATATTTTTGTTGGGCAACCTTTTACCATTTAGCCTCTCTCCTTAGTGAATTTATTTTTGTGTTTTTGCAGCATTTCGCTACAACGATCTGGTATCGCCCCGGTTTCTGGAAATGATTGCAAATCTCTCTGGCTGCACAGCCCATCGCCGCAACAATAACTGCTCAGACATTTGCTTCCATCAGAAGTACCGCAGCCATGATGGGACGTGCAACAACCTGCAACACCCCATGTGGGGCGCCTCGCTCACTGCGTTTGAACGTCTCCTGAAGCCAGTTTATGACAATGGCTTCAACCTGCCCAGAGGAACCACAGACAGGGTTCATAATGGTTATCGACTGCCCCTGCCTAGGCTGGTGTCCACCGCAATGATTGGAACAGAGACCATCACTCCTGATAATCGCTACACTCACATGCTGATGCAGTGGGGTCAGTTCCTGGACCACGACTTGGACTCCACAGTAGTGGCCCTGAGTCAGGCTCGGTTTTCTGATGGCCAGCTGTGTGCTCAGGTCTGCACGAATGACCCGCCATGCTTTCCAATCCAGTTCCCACCCAATGACCAGCGGCAGCTGCGAAGCGGTGCTCGCTGCATGTTCTTTGTCCGTTCCAGCCCAGTGTGCGGTAGCGGGATGACGTCTCTGCTCATGAATAGTGTTTATCCCAGAGAACAGATCAACCAGATCACCTCCTACATTGACGCCTCCAATGTCTATGGCAGCTCACGACATGAATCAGAGCAGATTCGCGACATGGCCAGCCACAGGGGGCTTCTTCGTCAAGGCATCATACAACGAACAGGGAAGGCGCTTCTTCCATTTGCCACAGGACCGCCGACTGAGTGCATGAGGGATGAGAACGAGAGTCCAATCCCTTGCTTCTTGGCCGGAGATCACCGTGCCAATGAACAACTTGCCTTGACTTCTATGCACACTGTGTGGTTCAGGGAGCACAACCGCATCGCTACAGAACTGCTGAGACTGAATCCCCACTGGGACGGCGACACCATCTACCACGAGACCAGAAAAATAGTGGGGGCCCAGATGCAACACATCACCTACAATCATTGGTTACCAAAGGTAATTGCTCTGACCTTAAGGTTTATTTTGACATTTCATCATGTTTATGGTTATCTCTGTATTTCCTTGGTAACCAGTCAGATGACTCTGACAAGATAATATGTTTTTTTTGTTTTTTAGATACTCGGTGAAGCAGGCATGAGGATTTTAGGGCCATACACCGGTTATGACCCCAATGTTAACGCTGGCATCTTCAATTCGTTCGCCACAGCAGCTTTCCGCTTTGGACATACCCTCATCAACCCAATACTCTACAGGTTAAATGAGCACTTTGAACCCATCACCCAGGGTCACATCTCACTGCACCGGGCCTTCTTCTCTCCTTTCCGCATCGTAAATGAGGGAGGCATCGACCCGCTCCTTCGTGGACTGTTTGGTGTTGCTGGCAAAATGCGCGTTTCCACCCAACTGCTGAACACTGAGCTGACTGAGAAGTTATTTTCCATGGCCCATGCTGTGGCACTGGATCTGGCTGCCATGAATGTTCAGAGAGGAAGGGATCATGGTATACCACCATACAATGACTACAGGACCTTTTGCAACCTGACCTCAGCTCAGACTTTTGATGACCTGAAGAATGAAATCAAAAACCCTGATGTCAGAGAAAAACTACGAAGGTAACTGTGAACTAACTGCTGCTTTTTATTGTTACATATTTTATGTTATGCTAAATATTTGGAATATTTATTGACTAAGAGCTTCTGAGTGACAGGAAGATGGTTTGACATTTGTTTAGGAAACTATCGCAAAATAATAATAAAGACATTCGTGGCTTTCTCTGTATGACAGGCTATACGGTACACCTCTGAACATTGACTTGTTCCCAGCCCTGATGGCTGAAGATCTGGTCCCTGGCAGTAGACTGGGCCCCACCCTCATGTGTCTGCTCGCAACGCAATTCAAGCATGTCCGAGATGGAGACCGGTAAGGAAGGATCATGCACACATCGCCATATATACTGAAATATGACCAGAATTTTCTTCATTATTTTCGTCATGTCCCACATCATGTCTTTGGGTCTCAATTAGGTTTTGGTATGAAAACCCAGGTGTGTTCACTCCTGCACAGCTAACACAGCTTAAGCAAGCGTCCTTAGCTCGAGTTGTGTGTGACAATGGAGACAACATCACCCGGGTCCAGCGGGACGTGTTCGCAGTGGCCGACCTGCCCCACGGATACGGAAGCTGTGATGATGTTCCTCAGATCGACTTGCGAATGTGGCAGGATTGCTGTGAAGGCAAGACCAGCAAAAACCAATTTTATGCAGTTTCTTTGATTATGTTTGGTTTGGGGCCCAATGAGGATTATATTACTTATAATGGATTGCATATTGGTGCATAAATGGAATCAAAAAACTGGACTTGTCTGTTCAGTTTCTGATTGCTTGTTGAACCTGTTCCCCATCAGACTGCAGAACCAAGGGTCAGTTCAATGCCTTGTCATACCACTTCAGGGGACGAAGATCAGCAGAGCACAGCTACAAGGAGGAGAAACATGACAGCAGTATTCAGGACACAAGGTAGCAAACACTGAATCTTCTTCATTGAATAGTTTTCGATCATAGCCAGAACACCACTGATATGGATAACCCATGTGAGATTAAAACATTTTAATGTGTTCACGATCGTCTTTCCAGCCCTCTGGAAGAAGCTCAAAACAGTCTATCAAATGCCACTTTGAACTCCAAGTTGAATAGTGAACCTTCAGTTGGTGACTTCCAGGAGTTTGTCTCAGACATGCAGAAGACCATCACAAGCTTAAGGAAACAGGTGTGTTTGGACACACACTGACACTATTTGAGTTTTCAATATGGCAATAAATGCAACAAGCCTCTTTAATGCAGAAAATCCAACAAGAGCTCAACAGCTTTTGCTTATAATCACTCATGACAATCAAGCATTAAAACATTAAGCTTTTCTTCCTGACTTACTGATTTGCACTCTTTATCCTGTTAATGAAAGCATAAAAGGCAGTAAAATCTTACATGAAAAACACAATTAATATTATCTGAAATGTTCATCTTTCCTGTCCTGCTGATACAAGCAAAAGAAAAAATCTAACATGAAAAATAACTTAAATAATGCCTGAACTAAAATGAAGTGATGAGGATATAGACTCTAATTCTACACATATGTCACAAGACAACCTCAACTTTGAGTCTTTATCTGGGACAGCAAGTATGGTAACAGATTTTAACTGACTTTACTAAGTATTTTCCAGTAATAGTTCTGCTATGACTATTTTATAAATCTGTCAGATTTTTAACTGCAGATGTCATGTTTGTGTTGCCTTTTGCCTCATTTTAAACCTCTGAAACCTCCAGAAGAAAGAAACTCTGTCTTTTATTACCCCGATGGGATTATTAAAAGGTTACACATGAAAACAATATGCCTGTGGATTGCATAGCCAATTCTGAATTGGCTATGACACTGCATTTACTGGAATGACCGGCAGAAAGGGGTCATACATTTTCCTACAGCCGACATTTGTTCACTTTTGCTGTCTGCAAAGAAAATCTGTTCTGATGCACGAGAGCGTTTTATCCATTAGTTGCAGGTTTTCATTTACTTTCATTTTTTTCCCCCAAGAATTTGACACGTTAGCAAACTACAGCTGTCTTTTGTGTTTTTGCAGATTAAGAAACTGGAAGCTCGTCTACACAAGTCCACCTGCATAGACGGCGAGGGGCGTGAGCGGACAGATGGAGAGCGCTGGCGAAAGGACTTGTGCTCGACGTGTGAATGCAGAGTAGGTGTACACTGATGGGCAGCAGGCAGAACATACCCCACACTGCCAGGAACTCAACCAGATCCTGTTACAGGGTGTTCCTCTGTGAGAAACACAGAGGATGGGATGTCTATCCTATTTTAAAGCACCGTCTGCCTCTTGCACTTTCCTGGGACCGGTGCACACTCTCTTGCCACGTTTCCTTCTTTCAGTCCTTGTCTGTTTCCAGCTGACCGTAACTTCACATACCTGTAATACGCCTCTCTCATGATAAATCTTACTGCTACTGATCTCTTTATAGTTTCGTCTTTTCAGTTCATTTTTTGCATTACACAGCTGACGAACACACCAGTAAGTCTCTTCTCCATTTCATTTTCCCATATAGTTTTGTGTAATTGGAGGGTTTTCAGGATTACCCCCAAAAGGCAAAGCAAACTGTTACTCTTGAGTAAAACCTTTTGATGTTAATGTTTTGTTTCATGTTCACAAATGGGGAATCTTAAAAGTCGAGCCGAGTCAATCCTCAGAAAACACACCCTTTGCCCTGATTACAGCTTGAAATCTTTTGGAGCATGTCTCTACCAGCTTTCCCCATGTAGAGACTGAGATGTTTACCCATTCTTTACAGCTGAAGGTCAGTCTAATTAGATGGAGAGTGTCTATGAGTATACATTTCCAAGTCATGCCTCAAATTTTCAGCTGTATTTAGGTTTCTACTTTGACTGTCCCATTCCCATCACATGGTTGTGCTGTCATCTAAACCATACTATTGCAGCTCTTGTTGTTTGTTTCAGGCTTTTTTTTGTCTTGTTTGATGGTTAACGACGACCCAACTGCAGAAAGTGAGAGGCTTGAGGTTGATTGGTCGTGTGAACGCAGATGGGACTATGAGGGAAACATGTGGAGGAAACTGAAGGAAAATGAGTACTATAAACAAACCTAAAGGGAAACAAAGTAGAGAATAGACAGCTTTAAAAAGAAAAGCGAAAGATGAAATACAAATAAGAATTGTAATATGGAACATTTTGCATGACAGGACCAAAAATAATCACAGAATTGAAAAAGATCATGGCATTGCAGTCCCACTGGAAGGTGGGAGGTGAACCTCCACCAAACTGAAATCTCTTCCAGGTTCCAGGGTTGCCTGTCAGTTAGCATAATTCATCTTCCCACAGACTCTGAGTGATTCCTCCACAGCATGATGCTGCCACTTTCTTATGTCACAATGAGGATGTCATGGTCAGAGTGATGCACACTCTTAACTGAACAACTGGGTTTACACTGATAATAAATTGGACTCTATGTACTTATCAGGTGATGTGCAAACATTTGATTGCAATAATTTTTTTCAGATTTATTTATTTTATTTTTTTTTACATTTCTTACTATTTCATTACTATCCCCTCCACTCAGGATGCCCAGGTGACCTGCTTCGTCGAGTCGTGTCCAGCTGCGGAGTGCAAACAGCCCATCAAGCTAAAAGGTGCCTGCTGCCCTGTGTGCCTCCAGGAGGAAGATGACGACAAGAGGCAAAAAGCTGACACCTACCACAAGTAACTTTCAGGACCCTCCCCGACAACCTCACACCCTGACAATCCAGTGTCTGAAACCCACAGAAAGTCAGACAAATCAAGAGAGGACATGGGACTGACTCATAGCCACGGTTGATCTCGACAAACCCCACAGCCTCTCAGTTTTTTTAAATCAGGGGAGCAATTTTTTATTTTTTTTTCTTGTTTTCAAATTTGTCCGGCGTTCAGTTTGAAATTGTTCAGCAATAAGTCAACAGGCACTCCATGGATTTACTTCTGCAGCAATGAATAGATAAATGGATTATATAAAGAGGATGGAGAAAAGCTATTCTCTGGCACTGAGGTGCTGTTTGCTCTCAATGGGAAAATGCAGGACCAGCTGCCATTGACAAGCAGGAATAAGAAGTGGATGGAAAGGCAGCAGTGTTCTCAAAAAATTTTCTCAGGTTAGAGATACCGAAAAACTGGTGCTATTTCCTTGTTTTTACTCCAAGATAATCTCTAAATACGAACCTTAAAGTATTATCGTTTGTATACAAAGCCACCTATATACACGCAATACTGTATGTCTTTTATTGATACATCAGACTTGAGTGGATATTTTATTCAAGGACTTTTATTGAATAATTGTCTTTTTATTTTCTGGTGCTTCATATTGTTGCTTTTTACCCTTTTTTTCTATGTAAATGCTTACATGTGAAAATAATGTGAAGCCCTGCAAAAATTTTTGTAACGCAAAAGAAACATGTCTACTGATACCTGCTCTTCTGTCCGTGGGATAGCTTTTTCATCTCTCTTGGGCCTCAGGTGAGGTGGTGCAGGGAGGCACTTCTCTGTGGAGGAAACCCGACTCAACTCCTGCAGCACTGTCCTCTTCACGTCTACGGGTCTGTCTCAATCATTTAGATTAGCATCAAAAAGTACATTTATATCAGTAGGGACATCAGAAGCATTTATCTCTGTTCATGTTTATGATCACAGGGTAGTAAAAACCCAAAATGCTGTTCCTTGGAAAAATAGAATCTTACCTGATTTTGATGTTCAGTGTATGCATTCAGTACATGGCTGGGACTCATGTTGCATGAATTTTCGTGCAACGTGGTGTGGTATGGAGGAGATCAAATTGTGGTTCTACCGAGGAGTTTAGGAAGCCCAAGTTGCTTTCAGAGTGACCTTCAAATTGTTTGCGTTTTGAGATCTGGTGTCTCATCTTCCTGCTTGAGAATGTCATGGATCTCTTTGGGATTTAAATCAGAATTGTCAGCAGGCTAATCAATGACATTGATACTGTATCAAGGTCATTGAGCTTTTGACTTTGTTACTGGTTCTGCAGTGGCTTTGAACAAGGAATACGTTACCTTAAGTCCATGCATCTTTTCCTATCATATTTTTTTCTTCCACCCAATGTTCAAATAATATTCTTGGACACAGCCCTGTATGAAAAGCCAGCTTGTTTAGCAACAACCTTTTGTTGCTAATCATCTTTGTGAGTACTTACACCTGTCAGGTCAACCATCTTCACAATGTGAAGCCAGGGTTTTTCAAAGAGTGATAAAGTTTTAATACTTTTCATTGCAACTTTTGATTTCACTGAAAATAAACTGCACAAAATACTGAAACACAGTTTTACATTCACCAATCTCTACTTCTAAGCCTTAGTCATCAAAATGAACAAAAACACTCGTAACATGTTATCTAATGTCTAATGAATCTACAAGCGTTGCATTTTGAATTGAGCCAACATGCTTCTACATCTGTAAAGTTGTGAATTTCCTCCCAATGTCTTTTCCTCAACTTCTACAGCCAAAAATAGTATTGCAGAATTCCTTACATTATGTAATTAGCATATTTGAAACTATGTATGGATGTTGTAAAAGATCTGGATGCAGCCTTTGGTACTGCTAAATTTACCATGGTAGTATTCACTTATGGTGTATTTTCTTACACATTCAGTCTTTATTCATAACTACAAAGGTCTGTTTCTCTGGTGCGCCAGTTTTACAAGGACATGCTTGCATACATTATTTAGTCTTCAGCTTCTCCTTTCCTTTAGTTGTTTTTCTCTCGCTCATTTTTCTCAAAGGACAGTTTTCAGTGTATGGAATGCTGACCCCGCTCTTGTTTTCTTGCCATATTGAAGATTTGAGTCTGAACTGACGTCACTTCGTAGAGTGCAGACTCTCTCTCTCCCTCCATCCCTCTGACCCTCATTCCACTGTAATAGAAGCCATATGAGAGGGGGAGTGAGGGTGATGATGGGGGAGGGACAATTTCATGATTGGACCTTACACATGTACTGTACATATACAAATACCACTCATTATTCATCATGCACTGGCTTGCATTGTCTGATTGTGTTGTACTTCCAAGTGCCTCTTTTTTTTTTTTTTTTGAAGCAAGCGTCTGTCACTGAGAACAAATAGTACTCACCAGTATTTTAATGGTTTCAGACGATTTGGTGGCTTCAGTCACACTGGTATCACATGCTTGCACATTTTTGTATGTTTACAGTTTTTGTTTCTGCAGCAACAGACTAAATGCATTTTTTGGCAAGGGGCCAAAGCAGTCATTCACCAGTCTGCATTGTAATAGATCTGGTTTATTAGGTCATTTTTATTTTTCCCCTTTGAAAAATTTCCAGGCGTCGATGGAATGCACTGCCCCGCAAGACTGGACATGCTGTACCTACACTGTCCCAGCACCCAGTGGTCAACGAAGACGTACTAGAACCCATTGTGACAGTTGTATTGTACTTTTGCCAAAGAATGGTTTGCACTGCCTTTCAACAGTGATAATAAAAAAGCCACATTTCAATTACACTGTGGACATGTCACCGCTTGTTCTTTTCCTTGTGCTTTGCAGGAGCTTAGAGCTGGAAAACAAATGAGATCATTGGTTTAAATTTGAGATTTATCATTCTAAACTCATGATAGATGAGTTTAGAATGAGACTCTTTTTGGTAGTTCTTTACAAAAATCTGAAATGACTTTATAAAGTGTTTTTATTAAGTGCTTCTATAAATCATCTAAAGTTATTTTTTGTGTGTGGGGAAATGTCTAATATGATTCTAGTCTGTAGTGTTAAATCTTGAAGTGCAAATCCATCAGATTATTTTACACCTTAGCCGTTTCTTTGTCATTTTTGTGTTTCTTGTCTTAGGAAATTTTAGTTTTAAGACCAATGAATGATACCTACAATAAGTAGGAAATGTATTGCTTTAATGGTTTGACAGGCTGCTTCAATCATCTTTTAAACAAGTCAGTTGGCCCAATGAAAGTGGGCTACAAATTATCAGAAAGGAAACAGTGCTGCAAAAATGTTTTTGCCTTCTTTTGTTTTTGCCTTTTTGTCACGCTAGAATGTCTCAGAGCATCAAACATGCATAACTATCAAAAACAGAACTTGAGTGCATATAAAAAGGATACCAAATATCAAATAATACCAAATTCTAAGACAAAAGATGCTAAACCTAAACAATATGACCTTATGTGAAAAATAAACTGTTCATTAAACTTAGACTTGTTATATCTTCTTGGTGACAACGACATACTTGCTAATTAGTTTGTTACACCATTTATTTCTCTGTGCACAAATATAAAAAAAGAGTTGTAATAAATTAGGATCATTTATCACAAAAAAGTCAATTTATTTCAAAACATAAAATTTATATTACATATAATCATATTTGGATAAGTAGTTTAGTAGTTTAGTTTATTTTGACTTACAAGCAAATGAAAACAACAAAATCTGATTCTCTGGAAATCAGAATGTTATGTAAATTTGTTGACCTAATAGTTGTCTGGCCTTCAGTCACTGACACTTGCTATAAGTAGTTCACGAAATATCATTTTCTACTGATCCTGGATGTTAACAGAGATCTGTATCCATCTATAATGGAAAAGGAGTGAGGAGAAAATCTGGCAGGAAAGGGGGCGCAAGAAACAGGTATAAGCAAAATTTAAATCTGTTTTCATTAGGCATAATCAACAAAATTAAAAATAAAATACATTTCATATTAACTTGATTGGATTGCAATGTGTTTACTTCATTTGTCAGATTCACTTCTGCATAACACAGCCACTGCTGCATAATGCAGAGAATTATTCACTTTTTGGTTTTCCTGCACCTTTTTCTGTTTGATTTCCAGTCCTGATCGTTCTTCTGCTTCCCAGCTGTTTGTTATGTTAATGCACTTTGGAGACTTCACAGTTTGCCAAATGTTTGCTCCAACCCTTTCAGCCCAGACTGAAGTATGTCTCTAACATCTGGGCAGATTTCTTAAAATTTCACCCTGGTTAAGTCATGCGGATAAAACGCATCTCATATTTTAGACATGCCCTCATTTTCACCCTTAGATGTAATGAAGTCAAAATGTTTTCTTTTTCTTAGGTGCTCTTCATCATACTGTTAAATATTTTGTTCAGGTTTCCAGTAGGTCTTGTGGACGAACCATGTACTAAATCATCTCTGATCACATGTGAGTGTGACACTACACATTATTTTCAAATATAAATATGTAAAAAACAACTGCTTTCTACGTGTTATTTATTATTTTAACAAATAATTTAGTTTAGAAAGAGACTATGTTCAGAACTGTGAAGTTTGTGTCATGTTATTTACAGTATGTTGACCTGGGAGCACATGTGTTATCTTGCAGATACAAGTGAAACGTGTCAAAAAAGCTACAACTTAAATATTTTTCACATTTTCCATTTGGAAAATATTTAATGTGGTAATATGTAAAACACTGCAAAACCCCCAGAGGTTAAGTGTTTGTCTGAGTTTTTATGTGTGGAATTACCACATAGTCACATGTGCAACATGTGAGAGGAAACTACTATGTGTGAAATATTTTCCCAAAATTCACATGGAAAACATTTAACAAATGTGGAGAAACTGAAATATGAAATATTTTTTCTGGGTTTTGACACCTTGAAAATATATGTTGTGACAGTGAAATCATCTAAATGTAAATATTTTTCACATATTTCACTTGTAGAAATTTTATCATATAAAAATATATGAGATGTTGGAATTTTTTAATTATGTTTTGACATTTGCAAATTATTTTATGTAGTAACTTAGGAGACAAATGTGGAAAGCTCTACATATAGAAGTATTTCCCAGGCATACTGTGTGGAAATCATATTATGCAGTGACAAAGACATATGAGGAATCAATTTTACTGACATCTGAAATGTTTTCCCACATGTTCACATTTGGAGTTTTATACAATGACATAGCATGTATAAACATATGGGAAAATCAACCTATCTACATGTGCTTCACTTTTGGAAATTATAACGTCACCTAAGACAATCATCAGAAAACGTCCAAAGTAAAACACATTTCACAAATTATATTGAGTAACAACATGTTCCTTTAAGGGATTATATGAACGGACCAGCTGGAAGGAAAACTGGTTCGGCAAATTACATTTCCAGTGACAGCACAGATAAAGGGACATTAGTCTTTCTAGAGAGCAAAACAGATCATTACAGTCCTCACAACAAAGAACCTGCCTTAGCATCTCAACTAGAACGTGTGCTCTTTGTTTTGTCAGAGAACTTTTGCTTTTACACTTATATTAGTGAAATAGTGCAAACAAACCAACAATGTTGCAAAATTTGACTAAAATATCTGTCCGTAATAGATAGCTATCAAAGTGTTTCTTACAGTAAAAAGACATTGTGTCGTGATTTTCTAAATCTTGACAAGACAAAGCTGAAGTTGTACAAGCCTCTCTCTATTTCTTCCCACTCATCACATGTTGGAATTTCATTTAGTCAATTGGCTCTCAGCAGTGAAGCTCTCACTCGCCAAGGTGGGGGATTTTTTTCCTCTCACTAATGGAACGTCACTCTCATTTCCAAAGAAAGGCGGATGAAAGAGAGAACTGGAGCACCGCTGAGACCGGGAAATAGGTTTAGCAGTGCAGGACACAAAGGGCAGCAGCACAGAGTTGTGACCCTCACCAAGAGGTAAATGTCATGAGATGGATTTCTGCTATTGTTTGTGCTTCAGACACATGCAAATAATTTTAGCTTTTATGGTTCAAGTGTCTGCAAAAGCAATTGAAGAATAGGTGTGATAGTTCCAGGAAGGATCTGTTGTTATCAGCTTAAAAATCACAATGAATGCATTCACTGGGTAAACTCTGCAATGCAGTACTGCTCGTTTTATACAGAGAATATGAAAAAGGACGTTTTTTAGATGTTTTTACTTCTAAAATACAGTTTTAGAAGTAATAACAATATAAGGAAATCGTTGTGGATAAACTGTGATACAGCGTATTGTGGTGAACTGATTAACTAATCATCTCCTTAGTTAATCAGTTTGGGTAAGGTCTTGAATTTGTATTGTGTTCCTTTAGGTTTGAAGATTCTTAATGTTTGTTAGGCTCATACTGAGTAAATGTTAGACATATGCTAAAAGTGTCTTAATGAATTCTATTTTACTTATATTAGAAGAGAAGAAAAGATCCCAAAACTGTCTGACAACATGCCCCCTGATGAATCATTGGTGCCATGGTTTTACAGGAAAGCTTTTCCACTGTTGGCACTTTTAGGAAAGTGAATCACATGCAATTGTGGTTCCACAGTAAAAGCAGTGACTTCATGTTAGACTTACAGATGGCTTAATGGGAGTAAATATCCTTAATTGACAAGGCTCTGTGGTCTGCTTTAGATTTCTTATCTTCCAGCCCGCTGTCCTTCAAGGGCATCCAGCGCAGCCTTGTTGCAAAATGTGTAGGTAAAACTGAAAGGTTTTTCTGGAATGAGCCTGTGGCGATGAGGGCTTTAAATCATCAATGTAAATATTATTTTACAAGTTTGTTTTCCCTCATGAAGATGAAGACTCATATTTGACCAAAATTCTTGAGCAGGACATCGTGGCCAAAATATATTGTCATAAAGACTAGATGCTGTTTAAAAATCAGTGTCCTTTTCTTTGGAAAAATCAGGGCAAGTAGTGTCACTTTACTTGGTTGTTTAATCCCAAATGAATCCAGGACCCCAACATCAGAGATTCTTGTCACTATCAGTAGGTGCTAGTATGCAACCCAGATATACATTTTCAACAGTTTGTTTTTATGTTTGACGAAAGTTAAGAAAAATTTTCTCATCATTCTGGCATTTAAAAATAGACAATAATTAAATATCAAACCATCCAAGAAAATATTACATGTGGTTTTAAACAGTGTATTTAAATATCTGACTTCAAAGTGGTGGAAAACTTCTGAAAGTGAGACTCAAGCTGTCAACAAATGTTGTCAGTTGCCGTCTGAAACTAAATGGTCAAAAATAATTATGACCTAAATTAAATGCAGCTCTTTGAGGGCCTCCAGTGGACGAGGAAAGAGGAACAGGACTGTCTAAGAATTTCATGCCACTTTCTTTTTACTTTCGAAGAATTAGACTTTGGGTGATTTCAATATCTACACTGTTCAAAAGGATTGTGGTTGTTTCTTCAGGAAGCTGCATCATAAATTTAAAGATGCCATGTGGGTGGAAGGAAAGTGCCAACCACAGGGATGTGTGGTTGTGAAATGAAAGTACCCACATATGCTCAAAGTGTTCAAGACGTAAAACCTGTATTGACAGCATGGTGTCCTGCTGATTCTGACTGGAAGTCCCCATTTCTACATTGCATATTTTGGTGCGCTTCATGAAAGGTTTTGCTATCTTCACACTGTCAAAGCAGGACGCGTGAGAAAAACTGTACTTTTCCACAGAGAGATAAGGCTGCACCACAAAAAAGTCATGACCTGGAATTGTTCTGGGCCTTGCTTCTGCTTTTCTGTAATTTCTGCGTGTGTTTTATTTAGGACAT